AAAGAAAAAAGCCAGAAGTGGCACTGTGGCTCAAGTGGTAGAGCGCTAGCCTCGAGCTGAAGAGCTGAGGGACAGAGCCCAGGCCCAGAGTTCAGGCCCCACAACCGGACCAAAAAAAAAAAAATAAGTCAAGCTCAGCATAACTTGCCCTTTACCTCCTATAATTTAAGGAATCAATGTTACCATTATGGTATGTATTTTTCTACCTCTTTTTCTATGCTTTTACAAATATACAGGTACATTTAAGTATATACATAATGGCCAGTACTACTTTTACAATATAAAATGAAATCATACTATGTATACTATTATCCCATAAAATTTTCACTTAATTTCTCATGAAGAGCACACTAATTATTTTTTATTTTTTGTCAATTGTGGGGCTTGAACTCTGAGCTTGGATGCTGTCCCTGCGCTCTTCAGCTCAAGACGAGTACTCTACCTCTTGAACCACAACACCACTTCCAGTTTTCTAGTGGTTTATTGAGATCAGAGTCTCACAGACTTTTCTGCCTGGGCTTGCTTTGAACCATGATCCTCAAATCTCAGCCTCCTGAGTAGCTAGGATTACAGGCATGAGCCACCGGTGCCAGGCATAGCACACGAATTCTATTAGACCCATATATGAACATTTCAAAGTGAATTTTTACTACTATGGGTAGATGTTTTACTAACTTACTAAGGAGATGATAGAAATTAAGGGTGAGAAAATGGCCTGCCTGAAGCTACCAGTGAGCCAGTGGCAATACCTGGTAGAGACTGATGGGTGAATGAATTTTCCCTACTTGACTTGATATCAGTTCTACCCTTTGCCTTCTGTGTTATCTTTTTGTCTTTCAATTTTCTCATTTCCTAAAATGTGAGTAATATCTACCTTATCAGTTACAAGAATTAAACCATGCTGTTTGATGGTGGCTCACGCCTATTATCCTAGCTACTTAGGAGGCTGAGGTCTGACGATCACAGTTCAAAGCCAGCACAGGCAGGAATGTCTGTGAGACTCTTATTTCCAATAAACCACTGGAAAACTGGAAGTGGAGCTGTGGCTCAAGTGGTAGAACACTAGCTTTGAGCTGAAGAGCTGAGGGACCAGGCCCAGAGTTCAAGCCCCATGACTCCCCCCCCCCCAAAAAAAAACCCAACAGTTTCTGATACATGCTTAGCAAGTGTTAGGTATTATGTTGTTACTGTTGTTATGAAGCATCCAAAAATATTTTTTATTGTTGTTATTCATGGCCCAGATTTCACCTTGAATCTGATTTGGAAAACACTATTCGAAACATGAATTTCAAGTTAAATTCGAGAGTTTTTAAGGAAAAATGCATAGTGACCTTAAATTCTGCAGATGCTTCATCTGAATTATAGAAATGTAAATTTATCTTCTTTCTTGTTTTCCCAGGTGGAGAGATACCTTCTAAAACTGAACTAGATGAATTACAGGAAGAGGTGGCCAGGAGGGCTCAAGAACAGGAACTTCGAAGGAAACGGGAAAAGGAGCTAGAGGCTGCTAAAGGGTTTAATCCTCATCCCAGCCGTTTCATGGACTTGGATGAACTGCAAAATCAGGGTAATTGTGAGAATTAGGTTGAGGGTAATAGGACAGAGAGAACAGGTAGGAGAAAAGATTCAATCTTGCAAATTTCATGTCTTCTCTTACACAAAATTATATTTTATTCTAATTCAACCATTTATTGAAAGCTAAAGTAGGTGACAAGCCTACTGATTGTGACTAGGCACTGATTTGGGGTACTTTTATTCAGTCTTAAATTGAAGATAGTATATTATTCATGAAAAATGTTTTCCATAAACATCTGTAGAAACAGCTGATAAGGGCAGCAAGTGAGCCCCACTTGCAGTGAAGGGAATTTACCATGTCAGGGAAGAGGATTTGATAAACAGAGGCTGAGGACATTAAAGCCTCAGCTTTATTTATTTATTATTTCTTGTTTGTTATAGGGCTTGAACTCAGGGCCTAGGCACTGTCTCTGAGCTTCTATGCTCAAGGCTAGCACTGTACCACTTTGAGCCACAGCACCACTTCCTGTTTTTGAAAGGTTAATGGGAGATGAGAGTCTTAAGGGACTTTTCTGACCAGGCTGGCGGCTTTGAATCAAGAACCTCAGATCTCAGCCTCCTGAGTAGCTAGGATTACAGGTGTGAGCCACCAGTGCCCCAAAAGTCAGCTTTATTTATATTTGTTTATCTTTTTAAATGCATTACTATGGATTAAACAAAGCATTCTACCATTGTGCTACATTCAGAGTCTTCAGATATAACGAATCATGTTAAAGTGGTATAAAAGATAGGAGTCAGTGCTGTTTGGGTAGTTGCCTTCTCTTGGATATTTTTCTCTTCTTATATAGGTATTTAAAGTAGTTTTCTTCTCTGAATAGTAGTCCTATTTTGGGGCAGCTTTTCTCCTCTAATCCTGCTGTCTTTTTTTCTCCTATTTGTCCCTCTACCTCCTTTTTTTGTTGTGCTGAGGACTGAACCAAGATCCTCAAATATGTCAGGCAGCCATTCTACCACTAACCTTCATCCCTCGTCCTCTTACTGTTTTGTTTTTGTTTTTTGGGTCCGGTCATGGGGCCTGAACTCTGGACCTAGGCACTGTCCCTCAGCTCTTCAGCTCAAGGCTAGCGCTCTACCTCTTGAGCCACAGCGCCACTTCTGGCTTTTTTCTTTTTTTGCTTATGTGGTGCTGAGGAATCAAACCCAGGGCCTCATGCATGCCAAGCACTCTGCCACTGAGCCACCTTCCCAGCCCCTTTTACTGTTTTTTTTTTTTTAATTTAATTTAATTTTATTTGTGAACATACTGTACAGAGGGGTTACAATTGCATGGGCATGATAATGCATACATTTCTTACCAAGCATTGCAGCCTCCTCCTTTGT